TGCACCTGTTAATCAAATTCTAGCTGCTATAAATGGACAAAGTCAGGATTTGCAACGTTTTCTAGGATTGCTTCCGGCTTCTTAGAGCATTCAAAGCCGATCCGAACATGACCGACACCAATGGGAACACTGTAGTCCACCTAACAGTCATCCACGATTTGCCTGTAGGTCTTCATATACAAGAAATTTTATAGACGAATTTCATAGCCCTTATCCACAAACTTTTCTCTTTCTAGGAAATGTTCAATCTAGCGTACAGCAGTGGAGCTTCTCTCAGTATAAGGAACAATTTAGAGTTGACACCCTTGGCACTCGCAGCACGTTTGGCTAATAAAAGAGTAAGTGTGGAACTTACCATCCCCCTCCCCCCTCTCGCTCTCAGTTTGTATTCAGATGTTCTCCTTGATATTGGAAAGTGAAATGGATATAGTTTGGAGGTATGGGAATATTGTATGCAAGGCGTATCCATTATTAGAAGTCGACACTATTCGGGAAGAAGATGGTGGTTTGAATCCAAATTCTGTTCTTGCCAATGTCGTCTACGGGGTGCATCAGATGCTTTCTATGTATATATTGGAGAGCATGTTTTCCAGTTGCGATTTTAGGGCAAAAGCAGCCACCTTGACTTCTTTGATGGACTGTTGGAAGAGCTGCTTAAAAGCAAATGGGAGGCTTTTGCGAAACGAAGGTAACACATACAACAACTCATTACTATATAACTCGGAAAGTTATCACATAATGAAAGCTTGCAACGATCTTATTTCAAATAGTATCTGATTTATCTTGTAAACCGTTAAGAAAGCCCCTCCCTAAATAGAAGTTCAAATGTTCGATCCCATTCGCGGTTAGTAGCTTTGCAAGGCGTTTCTCAAATCTATTGCAAAAATTTGTAACTATTCCTCAAATTTGAGTAATTAAACAGAAATTGCAAAAGCTAGTTCCTATCAAATAATCACAAAAATGAGTTGATAATCGAGATCATCATTCTCCAAAATATCATAGAAGTTCAACGGCAAGTAGCGAGGTAAAGTTCGTCAGAAACATTTTCTCAACGCTCCGAGATGGTGTGTATGGCGCAGGTGGTAAGGGAGCTGTTCTCTATGCAGGAGGTCAAATGTTCGATTTCATCCAATGTCGATAGCATTGCAGGACGTCTTTTAATTCTATTACAAAAATAGTTAGGGTTACCCTAAACTTGGGTAATCAAACCGAAAAACTTGGTAGAAGAATCACAAGATAACTCTTTATCAATAGATCACTACGATTTGGGTTGACAATCAGGATCCTCACATCCTTGAAGTGTCATGGATGGCTCAGTGGGAGGTAGCTTGGCTACAAATCGACGGGAAACAGGTTCGGATCCCATCAGGTGTGTGGTGTACGGAAGTTTTATCACTAA